AGTGTGTGCAATACATGGTTTTGCTTTTTCTCCAAGAGGATAAGTGAGCCCATCTCTGAAATTCACTCTACATGAAGTACCTCTGCTCATCATCGGCTTCTTTATTGCAAGCAAAGAATGGTGAGCCCGAATGTGAGAGCCTTCAGAGAGACCCTGAGTATGACTGAAGCCAGAGGGGTCATGATACAGAAGGAAGATGGGGTGATATTGATGTCCCACTTAGTCCTGAGGTTCACATCCATGCACATGCATGGGGCCCTACATGGACACACTGTGTTATACATGTTTTATAAAGGCAATAAGTTAGGAGAGAAAAGTGGTGTTGAGGAAAAGGGGAGAAATTGGAAGGAAGAACTGTGGATGGATTTGATCAAAGTACAGCACATAAATGTATGGATATTCAATTAAAAATGAACATACAGAAAGAATAGAAAGTCAGAGTGAAGTCATGTCCTCGGCCTGGGCTCACAGCGTCCACTGTGTGACACAACAGGGGGAATCTGACCTTGAGTGTTGCACTTCAGATTGAAAAGTCCTCTGACACTAAACTTGCCAGGAACCAATCCGGTTCTCATGAGTGCTCACAGTACACGCTTCCCTGCCAAGAACCCAGTCCCTTTCCTCAAGTGCTCACAGAAACCTCTCCCATTCGCCTTCTGTGGGAAGCTGTGCCTGAATGCACACTTATCCTTTCTGAGCAGAGATGACAGACAGTAACCCAGAGAGCAGATCCCAACTCCAACTTCATAACTAGGGAAGTCTTGTACTTCCTAGGGAAAGTTTTATTTTGCTTTATTTTATTGCGTTAATTTTTTATTGTATACACACACACACACACACACACACAGAGAGAGAGAGAGAGAGAGAGAGAGAGAGAGAGAGAGAGAGAGTCAGAGGACTTATCTATCCCTTTCCACTACGAGGAATTCAGGAATCAAACTCAGATCAGCAGGCTTGGCAGCAAGTGCCTTTGTCTGCTGAGCCATCTTGCCAGCCCAGGACTGAATTTTTTCTGCTTGTTTGTTTTTATTTTCCAATTTTTATAAATTGTACAGTTTCATGAATGTTTATAATTATTGTACTTGTTTTGACACCAAACACCCCTCTCCCACTGAAACTCTCTGGACTCACATACTATAAAATGTTTCACTGATCATCTTTCCCTTCCTACCCCGTGGCAGTGGCTCTCCCTAGCACCCTCCACAGAGCACCCTTCACATCCTTGTTCCTCAGGGTGTAAATCAGAGGATTGAGCATCGGGGTGATGATACTATAAAAAAGGGCAACAAACTTTCCTTTACTCTCAGAATAGCTGTTCTTGGGTTGTAAGTATGTGTAGGTGGCTGAGCCATAAAACAGAGAAACAACCAGGAGATGGGACCCACAAGTCCCTGTAGCCTTTCTGCAGGCAGTCATCGACTTGACCTTCAGCACTGCCCTGGCAATCTGTGCATAGGAGCCTAAAATGAGCATGGCGGGAACCGCAACAATCACCACTCTGGCCACAAACATCTTGGCCTCTGTTCCTTCTGTGTCTTCACAGGCCAACTTGAGGAACACGGGCATCTCACACAAGAAGTGATTCATTCGATGGCCACAGAGGGGCATGGCCATCATGAGACTTGTCTGGATCAGAGAGTTCAAGAGGCCTCCCATCCAGGAGACAATAGCCAATGCCTGGCAGAGAACGGGGTGCATGATGGTTGTGTAGTGCAGGGGACGACACACAGCAGCATAGCGGTCGAAGGCCATCACCACCAGGAGCAAACTCTCTGTGGAGCCCAGAGCAAGAAATATGAAGAGTTGGGCCACACACCCACCATAGCTGATGGTCCTGTCCAGTCCACGGAGGTTGATCAGGAGCTGGGGCACAGTGCTGGTGGTGTAGCAGAGGTCCAGGAAGGAGAGGTGGGAGAGGAAGAAGTACATGGGAGTGTGCAGTCGGAGGTCCATTTGGGAGAGAGCAATGATGGTGGTGTTGCCAAAGAGAGTCAGAGAGTAGAAAATCAAAATATAAATAAAGAAGATGGGTTCTAGTTGAGGCCAGTCTGAGAAGCCCACCAAAATGAAGCGTCCTCCCAAGCTGGTGTTGAAGCTTCCCATGGCCTTTGACATGAACAAGTGCCAGAGGGTAAATCAGGGCATCCTAAGAAAAGCCAGGGTTCATATACTGTTTAGAGTATTCCTTAGGTACTCCTAAATCATGAGTTCTGGTGTTCAGTTCACATCCCTCTAGCCTTCTAGTCTTACTCTTTCCTACTTTAGGCAGAATATCTGTGGACTGGGAATGACACTATCTGTGTTTGAGCCATATCACTGCTGCCTCCTTGTTCCTAGACTTTAACCCTGCCTCTCCATCATGTTCTCATTATACTGGGATTCGGATCTACTCGGTATCATAGAAATTGCTTTAAATAGCATGAAACCAGTTGTGGCAAAGACACAGACTTATAACCTATGCTACACAAGTAAGAACTGGAATTTTGACCCCCAATATACACATAACCTCCTCTTCTGCTCAGAAACATCAGTAAGTTGTCAGGTTCAAATGTCTTTGTTATCGTAGGACTGCATCGTCAACTTATTGCGCCAGTATGGAGGTTCTATCTGGCCTTTCATCCAACAACTTTATTACTGACTTGGAGATAGAAGTGGTACTGAAACTGCCTCATACAGTGGGAGCCCTGGTTTTATTGTCAGAACGGTAAACATATTACATTATTTATGAAACCTTCATATACAGAGACATCAGAAACACACAGAGTGATGAACATAGATAGAAACGAACACAGATACTCACCAGTCTTTGCGATGTGGAGCATCAGCAGTATCAGATATGTCAGTGCCTAAATCCTTGGAGCTTGACAAAATGAGTAAGAGCAACACTGAGTCATTAAAAGATAATTTAAATGTATAAGAATATATTAATCTAACCCAATGTCCCCTTTCACTTGCATATTCAACCTTCTCGTTACCCTCTGGAGACCTGAACACTCAACCAAAGCTGAGTGGGTACCTGAACTCCTTCTGCATCGGTCTGTACTTTCTCTGACTCAGTCATTCTCTCATGCCAACACAAACGCCCACTCTAGAGACATTACGTCACATTTATTTGTTCCTGTAAATATTTATGGCTATCTTCAAGACTCCTTGATGAAAGATTTAATAATAACTCACAAACATTCTGTAGTATAGAACCAGAGAATACAATGAGTACAGTCTGCTTAATTGAAATTTCCACGCAGTACTTTGCCTCAAATTAAGGGAAATCTTCTTCCATCTTCTGCCTGCCCCTCGAATAAATTGTTCTTCATTTAGTTTCCACAGTTTTAGACATGGTTCTGTTTTCTGTCTCCTGAATCTGATGTCTTCAATTTTCTTTTCATCTTAGATACTAGCCATCTCAGAGATTGGAAGGGACTGGAAAACCTGCATAGCTTACCAACTCTGTACTCACTAGAGCTCTGGGTAAGAAAATAATTGTGCTTACCTTCCTCAATTCTATCTGGAAGGTCATGTGAGACCTGTTCCTCTTTGGCCCTGATTTCATCTGTGATGTGGAGGATTTGGAGGCCTGCTGTGACTGTAAATAAGTCTTATTTATATGTTTGGCTGTCTTCCCCAGCAGTCTTTCCTGCCCAGGCACATAACTATGAAGAAGGAAGTGTCCTCTGCTGCGCTCTAGCTCACGTACCTAACCAAGACTAGGAAGGACCTTGTAAATTATTAAACCATCTTTTCCCCTCTGGACATTGTCTATACCTCTTTAACAGCAATGGCAACAGAATTATTTATCATCTGTGACCTTTGAGACCTGTGAGCCCCAATGTGGCAATTATAACTGACTGGCTGATTCTCCAAAATGTTCTTGCTATCCTCAGCTCCCTCTATTCCCCACACACTGCCTAGTCTCAGCCCCTCTATTCCCCAAACACTGTCCAGTCTCAGCCCCTCTGTTCCCCATACACTGCCCAGTCCAAGCCCCTGTATTCCCCAAACACTTTAAGCTCTGTTGGTAAAGGGGTTGCTTGTTTGTTCCCGCCCACCCAGCTAGCTTTGACTCAAAATAATCACACAGAAACTGTATTAATTAAATCACTGCTTGGCCCATTAGCTCTAGCTTCTTATTGGCTAACTCTTACATATTAGTTTAACCCATTTCTATTACTCTGTATATCACCACAAAGTTGTGCTCTACCAGCAAAGTTTCAGCACGTCTATCTCCAGCAGCGGCTCCATGGCATCTCTTGACGCTGCCCTTCCTCCTAGCATTCAGCCTAGCTTTCCCTGCCTACCTAAGTCTCAGCTCCTCTACTCTCCCCACACACAATGCACAGTCTCAGTTCCTCTACTCCCCTCACTGCACAGTCTCAGTTCCTCTACTCCCCTCACTGCACAGTCTCAGTTCCTCTACTCCCCTCACTGCAGTCTCAGTTCCTCTACTCCCCTCACTGCAGTCTCAGCTCCTCTACTCCCCACACTGCACAGTCTCAGCTCCTCTACTCCCCACACTGCACAGTCTCAGCTCCTCTACTCTCCACACTGCACAGTCTCAGCTCCTCTACTCCCCACACTGCACAGTCTCAGCTCCTCTACTCCCC